TTTGCAGGTGGGAGTCGGGGTAGAGAGGTTGCAGCTTAGTTGTCAGGAAGTAGAAAGGGTCAGCCACAGAAAGTTGTAGCAAGTGGACGTTGATGCGTGTGGCTCGCACCCTGGGGGGATGTGGGGAGGGTGTGTTTTATGTGTTCCTATGTAGCTCAGTTCACCTCATACAGTTTGCCTGGTGTTTCTTGTGGAGAAAACTGCTCATAAGCAAATGTAAACTTGACATTTTGCTCAGTGATTCACTAACATGTCAGATGTTTGGGAACAAATTCACATTTTCAAAACATCATGGTACATTTGATTATCTCTCTATCCCATCTAATCTGCCTGACAGAGTCATCCTCATCCTTACAGCTACAGGGTTTTCTCTAAACCTCTTTGTTAGGGTTTCATGTCAAATTCCTGACATATAAGCAAGTGTTCGTCATTATTGCCTCATAGTATAGCTGTGTGTGTGTGGTAATTTATCTCCAAGGGAGGACACATCATGGGACCTGGTTGTTGATTACACATCTACCCACTCCACTGCAAGTGCCCTAAGGAATCCTCTTCCTTGTGGCATCCTGGCTATAGCACACATGGCACCTGCTACAGAGGATGCTCAGGACCCACCTTGAATGGAACTAATTAAGAAAAGTGCAGGGGTGGCTCAAGCAGCTAAGGCGCCAGCCACATACACCTAAGGTGGCGGGTTCGAATCCCCAGCCCGGGTCCGCCAAACAACAGTGATGGCTGCAACCAAAAAAATGGCCAGGCGTTGTGACGGGCGCCTGTAGTCTCAGCTACTTGGGAGGCTGAGGCAGGAGACTCGCTTGTGCCCAGGAGTTGGAGGTTGCTGTGAGCGTGATGTCATGGCACTCTACCCCGGGGGATAGCTTGAGGTTCCGTCTGAAAAAAAAAGAAAAGTGCAGGGAAAAGGCTAAACTGTGAGCTTAAGTGTAAGAAAATGGGAAAGCTGTTTGAGGTTGGTGAAAATTTGGTTTAAGAATGTTTTTGAGGGGCAGCGCCTGTGGTTCTGTGGGTAGGGCACCAGCCCCATATATTGAGGGTGGTGGGTTCAAAACTGGCCCTGGCCAAATTGCAACAAAAAAATAGCGGGGCGTTGTGGCAGGCTCCTGTAGTCCCAGCTACTCTGGAGGCTGAGGCAAGAGAATCACCTGAGCCCAGGAATTGGAGGTTGCTATGAGCTGTGGTGTTATGGCACTCTACTGAGGGCAATAAGGTAAGACTCTGTCTCTACAAAAAAAAAAAAAAAAGAACGTTTTTGAGCTAGAAAGAACCAAAAGAGCCTTTCATTTTACAAGCGAGGAAAAATGGCTACATCTCTTACTCAACATCCCACACCTAGAATCAGAAAATCATTTAACTGGAAAAATGTTGGCTCCAGATACGGTGTATTTTCCAATTGATTGATGAGCTGATTCATTCTAAAGATGTTCGGCACTTGTAGCACAGTGGTTACAGCACCAGCCATCCAGCCACACACACTGAAGCTGGGTGGTTCAAACCCAGCCCGGGCCAGTTAAACAACAATGACAACTGCAACAACAACAAAAATAGCTGGGCATTGTGGCAGGCACCTGTAGTCTCAGATACTTGGGAGGCTGAGGCAAGAGAATAGCTTAAGCCCAAGAGTTGGAGGTTGCTGTGAGCTATGATGCCACAGCACTCTACCCAGGGTGATATAATAAGACTCTGTCTCAAAAATAAATAAATAAGATGTTGGGAAAACAATTTAAACAAAAAACTTACTTGGCAACATGCTTTACCAACTTACAAACTCCTTCTCTGTCATGTTTTTGTACTGACTAGATAGTTACAGGAAAAGCAAAATAATTTTTTTTTTTTGAGACGGCGCCTCAAGCTATGCCCCCTGGGTAGAGTGCCATGGCTTCACAGCTCACAGCAACCTCCAACTCCTGGACTCAAGCAAGTCTCCTGCCTCAGCCTCCCAAGTAGCTGGGACTACAGGCATCCGCCACAACGCCTGGCCATTTTTTGGTTGCAGCCATCATTGTTGTTTGGCGGGTCCGGGCTGGGGATTCGAACCCGCCACCTTAGGTGTATGTGGCTGGCGCCTTAGCCGCCTGAGCCACAGGCGCTGAGCCAATCATTTTGTAAAAAAATCTTAATTTTCTGGCTGGGCGCAGTGGCTCAAACCTGTAATCCCTGCACTCTAGGAGGCTGAGGCAAGTAGATTGCTTGAGCTCAGGAGTTCAAGACCAGCCCGAGCAAGAGTGAGACCCTGACTACTAAAAATAGAAAAAAAAAAAAAAAAAAGAAAGAAAGAAAGAAAAAAATCATCCAGGTATTGTGGTAGATGCACCTGTAGTCCCAGCTACTCAGGAGGCTGAGGCAAGAGGGTAGTTCAAGCCAAGGCATTTGAGGATGCTGTGAGCTATGATGCTACAGCACTCTACCCAGAGCAACAGAGTGTGACTCCATCTCAAAAAACAACTTAATTTCTGTGATAAGGAAGTAGGGTAAAGTTCTGAGTAGCCTGTCCACTTTGCCAGGGCTTTGTCATATGTGGTTAAAGATGAAGATCGTACATAATTCAGAGTTTTCTGTGAAACAGGCACTTTCCTGCATTGCTGGGGAGCACAAAATGATTCAATCCTTCTGGAAAACTGGCAGTGTTTTCTAAAAATCACCAAAGAACTTGACTCTTTGACAACAAAGCAGTGTCACTTTGGGTATCTGCCCTAGTGTTGTGTCTGCATGTTATAAAATGGCATACGCGGGCAGCACCTGTGGCTCAGAGGAGTAGGGCGCCGGCCCCATATGCCAGAGGTGGCGGGTTCAAACCCAGCCCCGGACAAAAACTGCAAATTAATTAATTAATTAAATAAAATGACATATGCACCCCAAGTTGTCTTTGCAGCACTGATTTATTACAACAGCAAAAGAGAGGAGACAGTTTAAGCATCCAGCAATAGAGGGCTACACGAGCAAACTCTGGTACTGCCCATATGATAGAGTCCTCCTTAGCCATAAAGCTGATTGAGCAGCTCTGGGATGAGGAAATACTTCCAGATATATCATTAAGTGAAAACATGCAAGATTCTGAAAAGTTCATATGGCATTGTACACATGTAGGAGAGGGGATGGGAATAGGAATCTGTACTTGCACAAGGACATGGTGGAAGATGGAAGGATGAAGGATGATGTAGGTTGTTACCAGTAGGAGGCTAGAGGATGGGGAGCAGGACTTCTCTATTTATACCTGTTTATGTTATTTCGATTTTCAAATGATTTCCCCACAAAAACCCTGTAGTTGAAAAGCAAAGGAGCAAAAAGGGAAGAGTGGAATGCAGCAGAGCAGAGCGTACCACCTTACCCCCAGCAGCAACTTACTTGCTTCTAGGGTGGGAATGGGAAGCAGACTCAACCTTACTGTGGCCAGTAAGAGGGATGGGGTGTTCTGATTCGTTTTTACCTTTTGTGTTCTGGTAAAGCCTATGGATCCCTTTCAGAATAAAGTTTATAAATGACTAAGATGTAACACATTGGGTTGTAAAGTGCAGAGGCAAGGGATTGAGTAGGGAGGAGCAACATTAGGGATAGCAGAGAGGTCTGGAGGTATTCCCCCTTCAGGTCCCCTGATAGCCAAGTAGTCTTAGGGTGGAGGAGGAGGAAGCTGAGGAGCCCGCCTACCTGCAAGGCAGAGTTCCGCCCTTCCTTCCCCTCCTCCCTACTGCTCCCCCCTGTCCGCCTTTCTCCCCTTTACCCTGAAAAATCCATCCCACAAGGCTAACCAAGTGCTCAGCAGGCACTTATGACAATTACAGTTATTGATTTTTTTTTAATTTTTTTATTTTTAGAGACAGAGTCTCACTCTGCTGCCCTAGGTAGAGTGCTGTGGCATCACAGCTCACAGCAACCTCCAGCTCTTGAACTTAAGGGATTCTCTTGCCTCAGCCTCCTAAGTAGCTGGGACTATAGGTGCCCACCACAACATCTGGCTATTTTTTTTTTTTTTGGTTGTAGTTGTCGTTGTTGTTTGGCAGGCCTGGGTTGGATTTGAACCCTCCAGCTCCAGTGTATGTGGCTGGCGCCTTAGCCGCTGAGCTAAGAGTTAGAGTTATTGATTCTTGTCTGATTCTTGTGGGTTCATTAAGGGATCACCATGTAATCTGAGTCTGTCTTAAGGCTGAGGATGAGCCAGTTGTATTTGGGCATCAGCTGATTTCCAGAATTTGGCCCTAATACATACAGTCAAGCTAAGAGAACAGCCCTACCAGGAGATCAGACATGGAAACTCCACTCCTGAACAAGGAAATCAAGAAATCTTGGTGGTGCTTGGTGATCTCGGCACTCTGGGAGGCTGAGGCCAGAATCACTTGAAGCCAGGAGCTCAAGGCTGCAGTGAACTGTAATTGCAGCACTTCACTCCAGCCTGGGTGCCAGAGCAAAACCTTGTCTCTTAAAAAAGAAAAAAAAGGCTGGGTGCAGTGGCTCAGGCCTGTAATCTAGCATGCTGAGAGGCCGAGGTGAGAGGATCAGGAAAATCACTTGAGCTCAGGAGTTTGAGAACAGTCTGAGCAAGAGCAAGACTCTGTCTCTACTAAAAATAGAAAAATTAGCCAACCATCATGGTGGGGGCCATGATAATCCCAGCCAGCTGGGAGGCTGAGGCAGGAGGATTGCTTGAGCCCAGGAGTTTGAGGTTGCTATGAGCTAAGTTGATGCCAGAGTAGTCTAGCCTGGGATAACAGAATGAGATTCTGTCTCAGATAATGAGAGAGGGAGAAAGGAGAAAAAGGAGTGGAGAGGAGAGGAGAGGAGAGGATGCCTGTAGTCTCAGCTACTGGGGAGGCTGAGGCAAGAGGATCACTTAAGCCTAAGGGTTTGAAGTTACTATGAGCTGTGATGCCACAGCACTCTAGTGAGGGCAACAAAGTAAGACTGTCTCAAGAAGAAAATAAAATAAAGTGATCCTTCAATAATAATTGTATATATATATATATATATAGGGTACAATGTAATGTTGCGACAGGCATATAACATTGTGGAATGATTAAATCAAGCTAATTAACATATCTAGCACCTCACATATTTATTTCTTTGTGGTAAAAAGATTTGGAATCGACTCTTTTAGCAATTTTGAAATATACAATACATTATTCTTACATATACGCAACTGTAGTCACCATGCTGTGCGATAGATCGCTAAAACATATCCCTGCTATCTGACTGAAATTTTGTGCCCTTTGACCAACAACTCCCATTTCCCCATCTACCTCACCTTCCCCCTGGCCCTGGTGACAACCATTCCTCTCTCTCTGAGTTCAGCTTTTTCAGATTCCATGTTTACGTGAGATTATATAGTGTTAGTCTTTCTGTGCCTGGCTTAATTCACTTAGTACAGCGTCTTTCAGGTTCATCCATGTTGTTGCAAGTGACAATATTTCATTCATTTTTATGGCTACATACTATTTCATTGTGTATATATTTTCTTCATCCGCTCATCAGTTGATGACCACTAGGTTGTTCCCGCATCTTGGCTGCTATGAGTAATTCTGCAGTGAACATAGGTATGCAGGTTATCTCTTTGCCTGAGATTTTTTTTTTTTTCTTTTTGAGACAGAGCCTCAAGCTGTTGCCTTGGGTAGAGTGCCATGGCATCACAGCTCACAGCAACCTACAACTCCTGGGCTCAAGTGATTCTCCTGCCTCCACCTCCCAAGTAGCTGGGACTACAGGCGCCCACTACAACGCCTGGCTATGTTTTTTTGGTTGTAGCTGTCATTGTTGTTTGGTGGGCCAGGCTGGATTTGAACCCGCCAGCTCAGGTGTATGTGAGCTGCTTGAGCCACAGGCGCCAAGCCTGCCTAAGATCTTTTAAAAGGCATTTCTGCTATATTCGTGTACAGTCTTCTTAAATATTTTCTAGTTTGTTCATTCTGGGTACTAATTCAAGAGTTGTTTTCCAGAACTCAGAGGTCTCAGAAGAGCCAGCTCAAAAAAATAACTTTGTCAGTTACTAAAGAAAATGCAAGTCAACTTCAGTATTCACTGTGATCATGGGTAAGTCACCTTTGTTTATCTCACCTTATATCTCCATTGATATTTAATAAGTAACTTGGGAACATTGATAAGAGTCAAGGCCACGCATGTATTTGTTTGACTTGTAATGCTTTCTTTTTTGCTTAACCTATTTACACATACCTTCTAAATTTAGTCAAAGTGAAATGTTAATTACATGTAGAAATGTTGATCAAAAAGTTCTAGTTCTTGCTACCTACAATTTTGAAGTGAGTACATAGATACAGCTTTAAAAATCAGAATCTCCATTAACCTTTCAGCCTTTCTACTAAATGCCGGTCTGGAAGGAAATCTTTACATGGGGTTTCAAGTTTTATATTGATCAAAAAGTTTATTGACCCAGTAAGCACTTTCTTGATTTATGTTTCTTTCTATCAAACCTTCATTCCAAGTCTCTTCAGAATCCAGTTTGGTAAGTTAAAGGGTACAGTCATGTCAGATCTTTTCAAGGTAAGCATAAGAGCATTTTAAGGACTCTGGGGAAGCAGTAAAGCCTAGCAGCCTCCCTTCCTCCCTCTCTTCCCTCCTCTTCTTTCCCTTTCTCTGCTAAGTTTCATACTTATAATATTTTGCATGACCTGATGTTGATGAAAATCAGGATCCATAGCTAATATTTTAGACACTGAGAGCTTATGGCACACTGTCCAATGCTAATTGATTTTTTATTTTATTAATTCTGTTATTTTCCTTCCTCCAGAAACAGATTTCTCATCTATGTGGAAGGCAGAAAGCAGACAGCAATACCAAATACTTAACCCTAAAACAAAAAGAGGATCATAATTCTTTGTAAGCAACATTTAATACCAAAAGGGCGCAGAACCTGAAAGTTAATTTTTTAAACATCTATATTTTGTTTTCAAATTAATCATTTTTGTATGTAAGAAATATTTTCATGTGTAAGAAGTTAGACCTTTATATATATATAGATACATACAAATGTGGAAGTATGCAAAGAAAGAAAACGATTTCTCTTCAAAGATACAGACTATAGTTAAATACTACAGAAGCTCTTTTAGAGGGTAAGAATCAATCAGAGAACCCCTGCATATAAAATGCTGTATCAACTATCTGATTTAAAAAGAAAATCTGAGTGTATATTTAAATTATATCCCATAACTTATCAGAGTCAGCTCAAAATATAGTAGTATTCTCTTATGGTTTTAGGTCTGGATCTTGCTGTAAAAATTAGACATAAAATGATATGATATAAAATGCTTTTAACTGGAAAATATCTCCTTAAATTGACAATTGAGGTCCTTTTTTCCCAAGCCGAACAGAAACCCATCTTGTCTGGGTCTGTAGTAGTCCCATCTACTTATACGAACAAAAGCTTGCTGGAAGATCAAGTTTTATATGCATTTTATTTTATCATTAAAGAATAAAACGCTTCTGATTTAACTTATAATTTAATTTTATAAAGAGTGTACTATGTGCCTCTGTGCTCCTTCTAAGAGAATTGATCAACTTCAGTCAATAAAAAATATTTTTAATAATAAAAAAAGTTCTTTGGTTTCTTTTTATTATATGGGATTAAAATAAGGAAGGTTAGTTGCTTTAAACTGAACCTGGTGAGTTAATTTCCTCAGGAATGGGAATGCATTTTTTTTTTAAGCATTACAGATATCAAAGTTCTATTGTGCTGAATAAATGTCCCTTTGTTAAAAGGTTTCAGTGTTACTTCAGAGATGATTTTCATGAAAGGAGAGGAGCCACCCCATTTAGCCTTTATAATTAGGGTGCTGAAAAGAGAAATTGGGCAAGGTTTGGTTATGTTCTTTATCAATGCATGCTTTCTCCCACAGGCTGGTTTGTACAGAGCAAAACTGGAAAAGGTATAGTTGATTCTGAGCTGCTGCCTGCCAACTAGGAAACCCGAAATGTCCCTGGAGAGACTGACTTCCAGTTTGAGAAACAAAATATTCAATTTTCTCCTTCTCTTTGTGATAGGTTCGTGGCTACATATCAACTTGCTTAGCAAACGGGAACACTTACTAGATGCTAAGGAGAAAAACTTCAGGGAACAAAAGGATTTGAAAATAATTACTATTTTACAGCTAGATGTATTTTAGCTCATAGGATTACAGTACCTATTCTTATCCCACCACGTTGTTGTCTGTTATTCCACATGTAATTCAAGAATGGGAAATTAAAAAAAAATGGGAAATTTTAATATCAGCAAACTGTCTATCTCAACCTGTTATTTAAATGTATGATCAGGCTCGGCTCCTGTAGCTCAAGCAGCTAAGGCACCAGCTACATACACCAGAGCTGGCTGGTTCGAATCCAGCCCAGGCCCACCAAACAACAATGACAACTACAACCAAAAAATAGCCGGGCGTTGTGGCAGGCGCCTGTAGCCCCAGCTACTTGGGAGGCTGAGGCAGGAGAATTGCTTAAGCCCAGGAGTTGGAGGTTGCTGTGAGCTGTGACGGCATGGCACTCTACCCAGGGCGACAGCTTGAGGCTCTGTCTCAAAAGAAATAGAAAGAAAAAAAATAAATAAAATAAATGTATGATCAATTTATATTGAAGAGAGGTGGTCTCTTTTTTCTTCTGTACTTTAATAGCTGCAAGAGGCAGTCTCACAGTATGTTTGAAATTGTTTCAAGTTAAAACTAGATTTTAGCATTTATATTTTACCATCAACATTCTTAAGATCAACATAATCATCTTAGAATTAAACTATAATTTGTCTGCTAGAAATTATCTCAGCCATTGGAAAAGATTCATATAAGGATATTTTTAGAATTAGTGAACAGATTTTTTTTTTATAAAACATGTAGAAATGCCCCCCAGAAGAAAGAAATTCGGAATCAAGATAATGCATAAATACTAAAACCAGTTTTACCCTCAAAGTGCCAATTGAGAGGCTGCTATAAGTCTGGATTTGTACATTCCCAAAGGTGGCTGGCTAACTGAGCCTGGAGTTTTCTTCTGTAGCTTTGTGTTGAGACTCCCCTTCTGTGGCTCCACACCTGCAGTTAGGGTGGTGTTTTGCATAGTGCACCTGTGTTTCTCTTGAGCCATGTGATGATGATTTTGTTAGGACACAGTACAGGAAGGTTCATCATTCCAGGCCTTCAATAGAATAATCTTAGCAACCTCCTATGTGATAGAGAACAGAGTGAGTAAGATCAAAATAAGAAACCAGACACATTAATCAAGACTGCAAGATGATAGGAGGTGAAAAACCAGAATGATCTCTGAAAGGAGGTTATCAAATGAGGAGTGCTCATTAATCTGTCTTGAAAAGGAAGATTTCTGGGTTCTCAGCCAAATACATGCTTAAGAAATCCAACTATAAAAAGGAAAAAATAATTTGGAGCACCTAGTAGGTGCTTTGTTGGCCACTGGAGACACAACAGTGAGCAAGCAGGCTTAATTCTTGCTTACAATCTAGTGGTGGAGACAGATTTTAATCAAATAATCTTATGGAAGACTGGTAAATACTATGAAATAAAGCTTTCAGTTACTATGATAGCATGTAACAGAGAAAAAGGTCAAGGGTGGAGGGTCCAGGGAACACTTCTCTGACTTCTTTTTTTTTTTTTTTTTTAGAGACAGAGTCTCACTTTATTGCCCTCAGAAGAGTGCTGTGGCGTCACACAGCTGGCAGCAACCTCCAACTCCTGGAATTAGGCAATTTTCTTGCCTCAGCCTCCAGGGTAGCTGGGACTACAGGCGCCTGCCACAATACCCGGCTATTTTTGGTTATTGTTGCAGTTTGGCCAGGGCCAGGTTTCAACCCACCACCCTCGGCATATGAGGCTGGTGCCCTACTCACTGAACCACAGATGCCGCCCACTTCCCTGACTTCTTTTTTTGTTGTTGTTGTTTTTGTTTGAGACAGAGCCTTAAGCTATCCCCCTGGGTAGAGTGCTGTGGCACCATAGCTCACAGCAACCTCCAACTCCTGGTCTCAAGTGAGTCTCCTGCCTCAGCCTCCCAAGTAGCTGGGACCACAAGTGCCCGCCACAGCACCCGGCTATTTTTTGGTTGCAGCTGTCATTGTTGTTTGGCAGGCCCAGGCTGGATTCGAACCCGCCACCTTAGGTGTATGTGGCTGGCACCTTAGCTGCTTGAGCCACAGGCGCTGAGCCACTTCCCTGACTTCTAAACTGAACTGGGGGGCCTGGCACAGTGGCTCATGCCTGTAACTCTAGCACTCTGAAAGGCTAAGGCAGATGGATTGCTTGAGCTCACGAGTTTGAGACCAGCCTGAGCTAAAACAAGACCCTGTCTCTAAAAAGAGCCAGGGATTGTGGCCTGTGCCTGTGGTCCCAGCTATTCGGGAGGCTGAGGCAGGAGGAGCGCTTGAGCTCAAGAGTTTGAGCTGTGAGCTGTGATGCCATGGCACTATACCCAGGGTGACAGAGTCAGACTCTGTCTTAGAACAAAACAATAAAATGAGAGATGAGTGGATGCTGACTAGGCCAATGAGAAGAGGAAGAGAATTCCAGATAATAGTAATAGCATGTGCAAAGGCTGTGAGGTGGGGAGAAAGATGACATGACATATTTGCAGACCTGATGGTCTGGTATGGTGCAAGAGGAAGCCAGAGAGAGAAGCTAGAGCCCAGTCATGCATGTGTGTCAATGAGGCAGTGTGGATGTTGCAGCACACAGCATTTCAATGAGCCCAAGTGATGTAAACACTACTGTTTGTCTTGGATTTTCCTTGAAATGAGGTCCCAAATGGGCTCAGTGCCCATAGCTCAGTGGTTAGGGTGCTGGCCACATACACTGGGATTGGTGGGTTGGAACTCAGCCCGGGCCTGCTAAACAACGATAACTGCACCACAAAAATAGCTGGGCATTGTAGCAGGCGCCTGTAGTCCCAGTTACTTGGGAGGCTAAGGCAAAAGAATCACTTAAGCCCAAGAGTTTGAGGTCACTGTGAGCTGTGATGCCACATCACTCTACCAAGGGTGACATAATGAGACTTTGTCTCAAAAAATAATAATAATAATAATAAGGTCCCAAATGCTTTGCCTTTATAATACCCTGGGAAGGCGAATGAGATAGTCTTTGAGATACCAAAATGGCACTCTGACTCTGGTGACATGCAGAGTATCAGTACTAGACCGTGTGGGACTAGACCTGTCTAAGGATGTTCCCGGAGATGAACTGCAGCAATTAAGAGTAGGGAGGTTGGGCAGCACCTGAGGCTCAGTGGGTAGGGCTCTGGCCCCATATACCAAGGGTAGCAGGTTCGAACCTGGCCCCGGCCAAATGGCAACAACAAAAAAAATTAGCAAGGCGTTCTGGCGGGTACCTATAGTACTAGCTACTCGGGAGGCTAGGGCAAGAGAATCGCCTAAGTCCAGAAGTTGGAGGTTGCTGTTAGCTGTGACGTGACAGCACTCTAGAGCAATAGAGTGAGACTCTGTCTCTAAAAAAAAAGAGTGGGGAAGTTAGTATATTTGTGTCCCCAGGAATGCTCTTGCATAAAATAAGCCATACATCAAATTATACCAAATTATTGGGGAATTTGTTTATTCACTTTTTCAGCCCTTCATTTTACACACATTTATTCATGAGGCACCCTGCCAAGCACTGAGGATAGAAAACTGAGTAAGATAGGATGTTCGCTGCCCTCCAGTAGCTCAAAGTCTTACCTATAAGCAGATATATCACAATTTATTGGAGATAAATTAGCAAAGTGCCCTGGGATCACAAAGACCAAACCCATGGCAGTACAATAGTGAAAGTCAGTGGCCACCAGATGCAGTAGCCATAGCTTGGTTGTTGAGAAAGCCTTCGAAATGAGGCAGATCTGGTCTGGGTCCTGAATGTGTAGTTTACCAGTGTGTGAACATGGGCTGAACTCTATGAGCCTGTTTGTCTGTAAAAATACCACCAGAAACTTTAAAAAAGATTAAGTGAGATACTGTTTAACAAATGCCAAGCAAGGTGCTGGGCACAGTAATGAGCTCTATTATTATTTTTAAAGAGCAGTAGCTGGTTGCTAATGTTAAATGTCTGTGATGGATGTTCTAGACTCAGACAGGCTGTTGCCTGGTTTATCAGAGGTTGGTGTGTGAGTGTGTGAGCGTGTGTGTAGGTCACAGGATAACCGCTTTTGTTCTGTATGGAAAAAGGAGTCTGGCTCGGCGCCTATAGCTCAACCGGCTAAGGCGCCAGCCACGTACACCTAAGGTGGCGGGTTCGAATCCCCAGCCCAGACCCGCCAAACAACAATGACGGCTGCAACCAAAGACTGTGCCTGTGGTCCCAGCTACTCGGGAGGCGGAGGCAGGAGAAGCGCTTGAGCCCAGGAGTTGGAGGTTGCTGTGACCTGTAATGCCACGACACTCTACCCAGGGGGACAGCTTGAGGCTCTGTCTCAAAAAAAAAAAAAAAAAGAAAAAAGAAAAGGGAGTCTGAGAAACAGCTGGTATAGAAAAAACAAGCCCCTTTATTGTGGCCTTTATTTGACTGCAAGTATTGACTAAGTGCTGAAGATTAAAAATGAGATAATACATGTTTAGCCCAGTGCCTGGCAAACAATAAACAGTCAAAGTATTAGCCTTTATTGTTATTCTGGCAAAGAAGTTTTCAGCAGCTGGAATTAGATTAAGCATGATTAATTTCTCTTTTTAGTGGAGTGAGAGGAGGGCCTTGGCAAATGCAACTTTCAGTGTCAGCTCTTGACTTGGAGGGTGAAGAATCAGGTTAAAGGAAAGGGTCCCTTGCTCTCAACCAGTTTACAGTCTAATCCAGGGACAGCTTTCAGGGTTATGTGGGCATCATATTCCTGACAGGCAAGTGATGCCTCACTTCAGAGAGCAAGTGATTTCCCATCTGCATTCTGACAGGAAAGCTAAGTACAGCAAAAACAAATAACAATCTGAGAAGCACACTTTGGGAGAACTTTGGGTTTTTATTTTTTTTTACTTCAGACTTGTGACCAATAATTTTAAAAAGAAGCCAATTAGGCTCAGCGCCTGTAGCTCAGCAGCTAGGGTGCCTACCACATACACCAGAGCTGGAAGGTTCGAATCCAGCCCTGCCAAACAACAAGGACAACTACAACCAAAAAAAAATAGCTGGGAGTTGTGGTGGGCCCCTTTCATCCCAGCTACTTGGGAGGCTGAGGCAAGAGAATCGCTTAAACCCAGGAGTTGGAGGTTGCTGTGAGCTGTGATGCCACAGCACTTAACCCAGGGTGACACAGTGAGACTCTGTCTCAAAGAAAAAAAAGGACTTTTTCTCTTTTATTGTTGGGGATTCATCCAGGGTACAAAGAACCAGGTTACATTGATTCCATTTGTTAGGTAACGTCCCTCTTATAATTGTGTCCCGCCCCCCAAATGTTAAAAGAATGTTATTAAAGTCTCCCGCCCCTTCCCCTTCCGTAGCATCTCCTCCCGGTACTTTGCCCTGCCTGCTCTGGTTGTGTTCCTATTTGCCTGCCTCGGGTACCAGCCCAATTCTGTCCCAAGCCTAGGCCCTCATTGTCCCCTGCCCTGGCAAGGTGTCCTGTTGCTGAGCCTGCTGACAATGAAAATTCACCCCAGATCTCCTAACAGATGCAGTTTTGTTAAAGATGCACAAAAAGGGAGCGCTTAATTATGCATTTTTACACACTCATTAAGATCAAAAAGGGGGGGGAAGGCAGTTTGTGCTGCCATAGACCAGACTAATGAAGGCCAAATGTTCTCCAATTAACCAGATCTTGCCCTAGTGTAGACACGACTTAGTGGGTTCAGGGATGGGGCGGGGATAGGTGGGGTAACTGGCCGCCATTCCGCGAAGGAGGGAACAGGAGCTAGGTTCACCCCTTCCCTCGGGCTTAGTTTAGGAAGGGGATGGAAGGAAGCCACAACCCGTGGTCTTAGGGGGCAGGGCGTGTCCGGAAGTAGGAGGGGTTGGAGGTGTGAGGGGGGAAGGGCGTGCCTGAGGCTGGGGGCGGTGCTTGTGAGTGTCCTGGGGTAGGAGCGGGCTGGAGGCGGGGGCGGGGGTGGGGATGGAGGTGTGCAGGGGAAGGGGAGTGCCGGAACCGGGGGAGGGGCGGGAAGGGGTGTGTCCGAGACTGGAAACTTGTGCCGGGGCGTGGCCTGCTCCACCCGCCGGGGGGTAGGGGCGGGGCAGGCCGAGGCTCCTCCTGGCGGGCGCGGCGCGGCGGCCTCGCGGTGCCTAGGCTCGGGTGGCCGGGCGGTGTATCGCTCAGTCGCTCGGAGCCGGGCGGCGGCAGGATGAACAGCATCAAGAACGTACCGGCGCGGGTGCTAAGCCGCAGGCCGGGCCACAGCCTGGAGGCCGAGCGCGAGCAGTTCGACAAAACCCAGGCGAGCGGGCGGCGGCGGGCCCGGGTCCCCTTTACCCTTGCGCGCGTCCCGCAGGGCTCTGGAGCTGCGGGGCCGGGCGGGGGGGCGGCATCGGGGTCCAGCCTGCGGCCACCTGGGTACCCGGGAGCTTCCTGACTTACCCCCTCCAGCCTCCGCGGCCAGAGCCACTCGAGCGCAGGTGAACCGGAAGCCGCGCTCCTGCCGGTCGCCCGGGCCCAGACGCGCCGGGGCCGAGGGTCTGGGGCCCGCTGGGGCTGGTTGGGCGGGAGCAGCTTTGGGGCCGGGGGTCAGGGTGTACCCAGGGCCCAAGTGCGCCGAGGCCGAGGGGGCTGCGGGTCAGGGTGTGCCCGGGGCCCAGGTGCGCCCCGACCGATGCGGCCCGCCTGAATCTCTCCGCCTGGCCGGGCCATCCTTCCCGGCTGCTGCCACCTTTTCCCATTTCTGAACACAGACGCCCCTACCCTTCCCGGGGAAGCCCTACATTTTCTTGAAGGAAACTCCCTGCCTCCTTTTCTTGTGAGCTGTTTTCCAGAACAATACGGTATCTTATTATCTGCTGGTGAAAAGTTTCACCTTATGTCGCCAGACTTGTTTGCCCGAGCGCTGGTGCACGTATAAATAGGTTCACACCCCCTCACTAAATACCGGCGCCTGACAGACAGAAACTTCCTGGGGCTCCCTTCCTGCGCTTCCCACGCGCTGCATCTCTTCCAGATGCTGCTCTCCTAGAAAGGTGGTTTTAAAAATTAAATAATGGCGGGGGTGTGCATTTGTGCGTGTGCTTGTATCGAGGACGTGCCATGCAGGCGTTGCTGTGCTTCTGGTTTCCTGTCCTTTTTCATTTTACAAACTCTGAGGCGTTCTTGTGCCTAGGGGGTGGGGGGGGGGCACTTGTTTGCTGGAAATGGATCAACCGAGACTGAAACGACTGAAAATTTTTACTTTAGAAATAAAGAAACCCAGAGGTCCCCTTCCACCCCACTCCTGTCTGAAGCAAGTTGGTGACATTTGCATTTGTGGCTGGCATTTAGCAAGTTCCGTTCTTCGTGTCCTTGCAGGGACTTCTGGGGTGCTTTCAAATCGAGTTAGCACATGCAGTCTACCAGAGAGTTCATTTTGAAATGAGAGAAAACACAGGGAGACCCTCTAACCCTGGGGTTTGTGATTGACAATGAAAGCAATAAAACCTCAAACACCCATCCTTTGTGAATGCCAAGTGCTGAAACCAGCCTGGCTGCAAATTACCAATTTATTCTTGTGATCACTGTCATCATCATCATCTGGTTCAGCCTGGATAGCCTGTCATAAGTGTGGCATTTAATTTAAAGTCATTAGTACATAATTGTGCCAAGAACTTAAAGAATCACTGGGAGAAAACCTTTATTGGCAGAGAGAATTTGGGTGTTGTGGAAAATTTTGTTCATTCATTGATTTTTAGATTTTTCCCGTGCTTTTTAGGAGGTACAGATAAAGAGGTCTCATTGCTTCACAGAAGAGATGGAATTTAAAGGGCCAGGTTCATTGATCTTAATCTTAAATTATAAGTCTAGGGCAGCTTTCCTTTCTGTGAAAGAGAAAGCATTTTTGATCTAGGACCACACATTTTGGTGGTTGGTTTGGTACACAAGAAGGTGGATTGTTTTGTTTTGCTTCTTGGATTTTTTTCTCAGGGGCTGAGAGGCATGCTTTGTACTGAGTAGTGAATAAGTTTGTCATGGATGAATTTCATAGGACTTACCCCTGTGAGTCCCTGTGAATCTCATAGGACTTACTCCATTCTAGGGCCCCCTTTTCTGGGAAGATGGAGTTTGGTTTCAGTGTCTGGTTTTGCTTGTCTTTGCAGTGACTTACCAACGGATATAAGAATGAGATTTTGTACGTGGTTAATATTTAATTAGATCATTCCCAGAAATATCCAGTGAGCTGCTAGCCAGGCCCCATGGTAGAAAGGGCCTGGAGAGCTGATATTGCTGTTTGCATGTCTCCTTCAGGACAGAAAATAGCATATCCAATCCAGGAGCCCAGCTTCCGTATGGTGTGTACCACCTGTCTTGACATTGACCCTAGCACCATATACCAGCCTCCTTTTCCCTCTCTTGGGCTTCTGACTCAGGAGGAAGAGAAAGAAGTATTCTTTTTTTTTTTTTTTGAGACAGAGCTGCAAGCTGTCGCACTGGGTAAAGTGCTGTGGCATTACAGCTCACAGCAACTTCCAACTCCTGGGCTCAGGCGATTCTCCTGCCTCCGCCGCCCAAGTAGCTGGCACTACAGGCGCCTGTCACAACACCTGGCTATTTTTTGGTTGCAGCCATCATTGTTTGGCAGGCCCGGGCTGGTTTCGAACCCGCCAGCTTAGGTGTATTAGCTGGTGCCTTAGCTGCTTGAGCCACAGGTGCCAAGCCAGACATTGTGGCGGGCACCTGTAGTCCCAGCTACTTAGGAGGCTGAGGCAAGAGAATCACCTAAGCCCAACAGCTGGAGGTTTTTGTGTGCTGTGATGCCACGGCACTCTACTGAGGGCGACAAAGTGAGACTCTGTCTCTTAAAAAAAAAAAGTATTCTTGATAGGACACACCTTTGTAGACATCTCCAGGGTTAGTACTTTAGTTCCTTTGGTAATTAAAAACCCCTTTCATCGGCTCGGCGCCTATAGCTCAACCGGCTAAGGCTCCAGCCACGTACACCTAAGGTGGCGGGTTCGAATCCCCAGCCCGGACCCGCCAAACAACAATGATGGCTGCAACCAAAAAACAGCTGGGCGTTGTGGCGGGCACCTGTGGTCCCAGCTACTTGGGAGGCAGAGGCAGGAGACTCGCTTGAGCCCAGGAGTTGGAGGTTGCTGTGAGCTGTAATGCCATGACACTCTACCCAGGGGGACAGCTTGAGGCTCTGTCTCAGAAAAGAAAAAAAAAAACTCTTTCATCATGGGTGGCGCCTATGGCTCAAAGGGTAGGGTGCCGGGCCCATATGCTGGAGGTGATGGGTTCAAACCCAGCCCCGGCTTAAAAAAAAAAAAAAAAATCATGACTTGGCGCCTGTGGCTCAAGCGACTAAGGTACCAGACACATACACCTGAGCTGGCAGGTTCGAATCTAGCCCAGGCCCGCCAAACAACAATGACAGCTGCAACCATAGCCGGGCATTGTGGTAGGCGCCGTAGTCCCAGCTACTTGAGAGGCAGAGGCAGGAGAATCACTTGAGCCCAGGAGTTGGAGATTGCTGTGAGCTGTGATGCGACTGCACTCTACCCAGGGCACCAGCTTGAGGCTCTGTCTCATTAAAAGAAAAAAAGAAAGAAACCCTTTCAAATGGAAATGACAAAATTTTCCCAGCTTCTCGTTGTTGTTGTATTCTGAATATAGAATGCTACAGAATATAGTATGCTGACTCTGGGTCTTTCCCTCTGCTCTTTATTCCTTCTGTATTCCTTTCTATCTAATAAATCCTGGGGATTTATTTACCACTGGGGAAAAGAAAAGAATATAGTAAGCTGTGTTCTAAACCTGAAAATTGCCTGTACTATTAAAAGTCATGGAATGCACCTGTAGGCAGGCACACCTGAGTTCTGGCCTGTGTCCCTGGGTGTGTTGCTTAATTCCTAAATCTGTTTCCTTGTGTATAAAAATAGGGATAGTTCCATCCACTGTAGACAGCTGTTCTGAGGTGTGATACCATAAGGTTGGCTCTGTAATGGTCCTACAGAGATGTCCACGCCCTAGATCCCGGAACTGTGAATGTGATACTGCTTGGTAAGGGAAATTAAGGTTTCTCATCAGCTGGCCTTGAGATAGAGCAATTAACCTGCCTCACCAGGTGGGCCCTATGTCATCACAGGGATCTTTAAATGTAGATGAGAGCGGCAGGAGAGAACAGAGTAATGCTATGTGGGAAAGACTCCACTGGCCACTGCGACATTAGCCAAGGAATATGGGCTCCTCTGCTACCTGGAAATGGCTGGGAAATGGGATTCTCCCCTAGCACCTAGAGAAGGAAATCCAGCCTTTATCGAACCTTGTGTTTAGCTGTGTGAGACCTGTTTCAGACTCCTGATCTCCAGAACTGTGAGATGATGAACTTGTGTTGTTTTCAGCCACTAAGTTTATGGCGATTTGTTCTAACAGGCATATCACATGAAACTAGTACATATAGTATGTAAAGCCCGTGGCACTGTACCTAGCACATAGTAGGGGCACAGCAAATAGTCAGCTAGCTGTCCTCTCTTCCCTACCTGGCCAAAAGGTGTTAAAATCTGAGAAGGGTCTCAGAACTTCCTTGAGAGGAGAAAGCTGTCTTTGAAACATGTCATAGATGAGGGCTTAGCAGATTGGGGAGTTCTGGAAATTGCTGTTCCTGCCTTTTCCCTTTCTGTCAGCCCCTTTGCCTCTCTGGGCCTCAGTTTCCCTTGCAGGATATGGCCCTAGAACCCAGAAGCTTCCTCTCAGGTTAGGACGAGAGAAACCCTTTTACACAACAGCCCGAGGCTTCTGGCTGCTGTGCCCTGAGCCCTGCCTGATGGGTGAGCATTAACCATGGACAAAACTGCCTGTGTGTGAGTACTGTGGAGGGGTCAGCGTGCAGAGCAGTTCGCAGGTCTGATTTTCCAAGTCAGTGACTTGCCCCTTAGCAGCCCCTGTGGAACTAAAGTGCTGTAAGATTAACATGTATCGACAACTCAGGACATCTTAGGCAGGCCACATGCCCGGTGGGAACAGGTGATGGGCCACGTGTGTGACTATAGATCATCTGGCAGCCACTAGAGACGTCAACAGAAACAGGTGGAGTTAATTACAATTGCACCTAATGTTTAAACCTGTGTATCCAAAATACAGCCCTTTTAGCATATAGTCACTATAAAAATCATGATGGGGATATCGTACATTCTTTTTTCACCTAAATCTTGGAAATCTGGTCTATATTAACCATTCCTGTCTCATCTCCATTTAGATCCCCCAGTGCTCAGCAGTCCCTCATGGCTAGCAGCTGCTGTGCTGGGCAGTGCA